ATCTAAAAGGAATTCGGCAACACTGTAAACGAATCTTAAATGGGCATCAAAAAAGGCAACTTTATTATAATTTAACTGACCTTGTAGCTCTTACCGTTTCGGATATAGCAATAGTGGTATCACTTAAAATATACACCCTGTATATATATATATATGTCTAATCAATAATATAATTAGAAATAAAAGTCCTTTTTTTGCGAATATTCAATATGTATAATCCAAGTTGCGATTTTCCTACGCGATGGAATCTGTTGAATTAGCAGCATCGGTAGTACAAAACCAGGCCAGTCGTTAACATCCAGCAAATGCGGACTTAGCAGAAAAATATTAATTGTAATAAATGTATATATGGGTTTTTGTATTGATTAGTTCAATATAAATACCTGTAATCATTTCAATATAATCAGTATCTAACAAAGCATTGTTGTACTCACTACAAACTCAATTACCCCTTGCGGTATCACTTTATGTCTAAATAGAGTTATTCAGCGCTCAGGTTCATATCCGGCTCGAAGGACTAAAATGTCTGTTATAAATATTATACTAATCAATACAAAAACCCTATATACATTTATTACAATTAATATTTTTCCATTAAAAAAAAGTCGAAGTTGCCTACATTTCTCCATTTTCCGATGCGATTTTGATTTTTTCTGGTACCGTTAAAAGAGAATATAGAAAAAAACTGTCAAGTTTTGTATTCAATTGTTTTTTCTATTTTAAATGGTTGAGGCTGTAGGTATGAATCAAATACCATGTACCTATTATACTACCAAATCTCTATTTGGTGATTTTCTATAATAATTAGGTATCTTTTTGTTTATCAAAAAACTCATCAGGACTTAATCAGGTCCTGGAATTTTCCAGTCCACAATTTTCCAAATCCACATTCAGTATCAAGTGTGAACCAAAATATACAGGGTTTCCAATATACGAAGCCTACTTTTGAATGCTAACTGGCTCAAGTTAATGACTATGTCACATTTAATGACCAGAGAATATCCTTAAAATCCTTATTATCGTACAATTTGTATGCAAGGTTCAGAACAATTTGCATGAATTTCATTTAAAAATTTGATTAAACATAGGTAATGTTAAATAGTTTTAATAATAAATATCAATGTCCGCCTTCACTGCATAACGCGAAGCACTGTTAATTTTTAAGCAAATGACTTGATATTTTAGAAAATAAAAGCGTACTTTTAGCGATAAATATATTTATTAATTAATAAAAATTAAGTAAATTTCAATCCACCGATACTAGAAAATAATGTTGTATATTGAATTAGCGAGCTTTCTAGGTGATAATGTAACTATAAACATTCTTTTTTTTTTGGGCCACCAGGAAAAAATCCACAAAGTGTTCAATAGAATTTTCATGTGCTCGAAATCATCTCTGATGTAAACACATTCATTTACATTCTTTTTCTCAGTATAAACCTAGTGGCCAAAAAAAAAAAATAATTAAATAATGTAATAACTTTGCTATACTGAATCATAAAATTCTAACTTACCTAAATGTGTAAATAGCGGAATAGGTGCTACACATAAATATTATAATATAAACTTTGTTCCGATAAATTTGTACATTTTTTAGGTTAATTTTTTGCTAATGTTATTAATACATTGTTGTTGATAATGTGCGTAAGAAAAATCAGGGATACATTAAAAAAAAAAAACATAACAGAATAGGATATAATTGACTATAGTTAATTGATTGTTTTTATAATCTGTTTGTTAGCAACAAACTTGACAATTTATTGATTTTATTAATTTGTGTTTTTGTTATATTAATTTTTTTTTTGTTAATTATAGGTACTAATTTTGGAGTCTGCTTTTTGGGGCGTGAATTTCTTGTTAATAAATAAATTGTCAATTTGTCTGGACTGCTTTATTTGTGTTTTATTTTTGATACAATTTTTCCTCTAAAAGTTGAAAATTGAAGTTCTATTTTTGACGTACCTAATGTTGAATTAAAATTCTCTGCACTCACAGCTTTTAATAGCCAACGAGATATTAAACCACCCAATTTGCAATTTTATATGGGTCATTATTTTGGAAACTACCTACCTTTCGGTTTCAGTAGTAAAATAACGAGGAACTTCATATTTTGCTCCATTAAAAACGCACTAAAATCGAATTATCCAACCGTTAAAATCCAATTTTATGACAGTTATTATTATTAATCAATATGTGACTAATGAGGAATATTATATTCAGGCTTTCAAGCTGGACCTCTGAAATGATTCTGAGGCTTTTAAATTGTTCTGAAGCCTTTCAAAATGCTGCTGGAAAGTATTTTGGAACGTTCTGGCTTATTGAAGTTTTAACGTGTTCTTACTTGACTTGAACAGTTCTGGAACATTCTAGAAGTTTTTCAGTAATTTCTAAGTTTTTCTCCAACGTATTCTAAACTGGTTCAAAAGAGTTCCAAAAGGTTTCCAGTTTCCAGTTCTAAATTGAATCCCACTTGTTCTGAAATAGCTCGGAAGTGTCTAAATTGTTCCAAAATCGTCCTGAAAATTCTGATTTGGATGCTCATGAAAACTTTAAAGTTCTATAATAGCAATTTAAATTCGCTCTTGAACGCCGTCTGAAAGGCGTTTTGTAACTTTTAATCTGAATCCTGATTTTGACGCTTTTCAAAATGTTTTCCGAGATTCTAGAGTGTTTGAGTGTTTTAGAGCGTCCTAAAATGGGTTTCAAACTTCTGAATTGTTCTAAAATGCTTTTGGAAATTGTAAATCGGGTTTTGAAGCATTCGAAAATAGTTTTTAAATTGTTCTGAAGCGCTACAGAATGCTTTTGGATATTCTGAATTGAATTTTAAGTGTTTTGAACTTTCCGAAAGGATTATCAAAGTTCCAGAGTGTTCTGTAGCATTCTAAGAGTTTCCAGTAACTTCTAAATTGAATGAGAAATGAATAATGTGGGGAATTTTTGTAGCTATCTTAAAGACGTCCCTGATGTCCAAAAACGACATTCAAGACGTTTTCTTGAAGGAGAGTGATCGTGGATACTTTTGATCTTACTTTCATAGTAAAAACAGAAGCTCTAGAATCCCAAATACAATGGGGCAAACCTACATAGATTCCCAAGAAATAGTAATAGTTTTTGGTAGGTTTTTTAAAAGTGTATTTTTTCTATCCTGAGTGCCTAGTGATAATTAACCTTTCCCAGCCTAGTTTATGTAGTATAGTTCATATCAACAATGTAACGGATGACAAGATAATGAAAGCATCTAAGAAGCTCAAAAATAAAATGACGTCTGGTCCAGATATTATACCTGCTTTTCTAGTTAAGAACTGCATAGGTGTCCTGGTAATACCCCTTTAAGAATCCTCTTTTCTTTTACTTAATGCTGCATTCCAATATATACCCATCAGATCTGTGGAAGGAGGCAAAAGTCATCTCACTATTTAAGTCTGGTGAGCGCAGGTGGTGAATTATCGCCCAATATCCATCCTGTGCAATTTCTCCAAAATTTTTGGAACCATTATTTTGTATGAAAATGTATATGCATCTTTCTGTTGCCAAATTTCATTTTTTCAACATGGCTTTATGAACCAAAGATCAACCATATAGGTATAACAAATCTAATGTATACATCACAGGAAATACCAGTAATTCTGGATAGGGGGGGTCAGGTTGATATGATATAAGTATACGAATTTCTCCAAGGCTTTTCACAGATTGGATCATGGGGTTATTAATTACTAAGTTGCATAAATTTGGATTTTCTGACGGTCTTCTAGAATTTTTTGCATCATATCTGAATAATCGGCAGCAATTTCTTTTTTACAATGGATTTAAGTCTACGAAATATACGGCAACCTCAGGAATACCTACCTCAAGGGTCCAATCTAGGTCCTCTCCTTTTTTTTTTATTTGTTAACAATCTTAGCTGATGAACTTACCTCTGGAAAATTATTATTTGCAGATGATCTCAAAATTTTCTCTCCAATTGACAGTCTGAGTGATTGTGAAAGTCTGCAGGCTAATTTAACAGAGTTCAAAGATGGTGTGTTGAAAATAGTTTAAATTTGAATGTGTTTAAATGCAAATGTAATAATTACATTTACCTGTAAACTTAGGTACTTATATTACTTTCGCATATGCAATAAACCATACAAGCACTGTTACGATGTTTCTCTGTCACTGTTTCAGACATGTGCGTAATAGTATTTTACATTACGAGTGTATAGAAAGTGACAAATTTCACACGAGTGTATGAAACACGCTTTCTCACAAGTGATGTACACCATTTTTCCTACGACCAGAAACCGATTAACACCAATTTTCCCTTATTTTAATTCTTTTCATTTTCAACACACGTGCTGAAAGTACTTTCAACCCACGTATTGAAAGTAAATTGTCAATGTGAATTACAAATAATGTCAACAGTATTTTCCACACGTGTGCTGAAAGTACTTTTAGCACGCATATTGAAAGTACTTTGTTGGCATGTGTGTGATATTTAGCGCTTTCCAAAGCACCAACTAGTGCGGATTTTGTCATTTTCGTATCTGGTTGTAGGAAAAGACGTTTTTAGGACTGAGACACTTTGAAGACGTCTTCAACGAGATGTCTTGAAGACACCTTTGGTCTTTAGACGTTCAGACGTAATACAGACCTTAAACAGACCTTAAGGCTTAAAAGACGACTTTAAGACCCTTGTGTGCTGTTATCCAAGTCCACTTGGACGGTAACAACCAGGCATCACCAAAAATTATGATGCATTTCGATTACTAATGAATATAAAAATTTAAATTTATGACTTAAATCTGTAAAAAAGCAATGATCTAATTATCTTATCGTAATTAATAAACATCTACCACTCACACAAAAACCGATAAGACATGCAGCAATATAAATAAAATAAATAGTACGAAATTGAGATTAAATAAGTCATGTTGATTGACATTCATTTTATTTAATTTTAGTATTATTTTTGACCTTCCACATATACAGTGAGTAAATTGGTAATTTTATTGGAAAAAATGGTTCTAAAAGTGGCAAAAAGACTCGTACAAGTACCTTGTAGGTACTTGGCAACGCATCACATGGTACTACCCGCTGATACTTTCGAAGGAAAAGTTATACCGAAAACTAGAGTTGTTAATAAGGACAGAGTACGAGAGCATGTTAAGTATGGAGGAAGACATATCGTTACTATGTTACCAGGTAATTTTTCGTATCTGAAAATTTCAAATTTTGTGCCTCATGAAGCTGAACCATTAAGAAGCTCATTATTGGCACTTTTTGAACTAAAGTTTGCATTAAAATCTTATTCGAGGCTCTACAAGAGCAGAAATGAAACTGAAGCCTCAAAATTGAGTTAGAACGGCCTTAAAAAAAATCATTTCTGACCCTCAGAGCACTTAAAAAGGTTCTTTTCCCCACTGACCTCACTTCTAAAAACGTTTCAAACGCTGGTAACTTAATAATCTTCTATGAACTAATTCATTCACTTAAATTATTACTAGGTGCAGCTCCAGGTCCAAAATTAATGTCCTACGTGAAAGACGTCTTCAAAACTGCCAACGTTCCAGTGGATTTCGAAGAAATTCCCTACGAAGGCACAGAAGATGAAGAAAAAACCGCCCTATTCGGCCATCTCTCCCTTACATCTATGCATAGAAACGGTGTAGGAATCAAGGTATAAAATTTCTCGAATATTTTTCGTGAATTGCACTAAATCAAATTGTTTCAGGGCAATATCGTTAATCCGAACGAAATTATAAGCTCCAATGTGGCTTTAAGACACGAACTGGATCTGTATGTTTGTGTGGTACGCATCAAAAGCTATCCGCACGTTAAATGTAAATATCCTAACATGGATATTTATATTTGTAGACAAAATACAGAAGGAAAGTATTTTTAATTATGTGTACATTTCTAGTGATTTGAATAAGAAGCTTAGCTTAATATCAAATGCCACAAATACATACAATAATAAAATTTCTAGGTGAGTATGCAATGTTGGAACATTCAGCAAAACCCGGTATAGTTGAAAGTCTAAAAATCATAACGGCAGAAAACACTGCAAGATTTGCAGAATGGTGTTTCGAGTTTGCTTTACAAGAAAACCGTAAAAAAGTAACAATAGTGCACAAAGCAAACATAATGAAACTTTCTGATGGCCTGTTTATGAAAGTCGTCAAAGATGTTGCCAGAAATTTCCCTCAAATCCAAGTTACCGACATGATTGTTGATAATGCTACAATGCAGATGGTCCAAGATCCCACTCAGTTCGATATGGTTGTTACTCCGAATTTGTATGGCAATATTTTGTCGAATATTGCTTGTGGATTGGTTGGCGGTGCTGGGTTGATGTCTGGAAGGAATTTCGGACCCAATTGTGCTTTATTTGAGGCTGGATCCAGACATTTAACTTTCCTAGGTAGAATTTAGAAAAAAAAATCCTATCAATCAATAAAACTTATTTTTTAGATGATGATAATTTGAATCCTACAGCAATGCTGAATGCTTCCATAGATATGTTGCACTATTTAGGAAAATCAAGACATGCAGATTTAATTAATAAAGCCATCACAAAGACGCTTTCAGTTGATAGAGTGCAAACTCATGATATTGGAGGTGTTAACAGTAGCGACGAAATGATTGACAAAATTAAGCAGAACCTGAAGGAATTTATGAAAAATGATGAACACAAATTATTTTAAAGAATCTAAAATAACTTTATTTCAATAATAATATTTATACAGAACAAAATAGATAAAGCTACAATTGATAAATTAATATACATTTATTTTATTTCCTATACATATTAACCAATATAATTTTTTTGTTTTTAGTAAAATAAAGTTTTTCATTTTTGCAGAGTAAATATTCCAAATATCTTTTTAGCCTCAAGACATACAAAATCTTCAGTCATTTCCATTCAAATCAATTCTGTGTCCCACACAATAATAAAATAATATGTATAATATTTCACATAATCCGCAGTAAATAGAAACTAAATAAATCACAAAATAATAAAGTGCCAGAAGAACTCCGCAAATTCCTTCCCTGGTGGATTCACAATTAGCTGGAACTTTTTCTTTTTGGTACTTCTCTAGCGCATTATGTGTGTACTGGACGTCACATAGTGCGGATGTTGAGTGGAACCATTTTGCAGATTGGTTTGAGATATTGGGCCGGTTGGATGGAAGGCTGGTTGAGGTGTAGAATTCAAGTTGGGCATACTGAAAACATAATATGTTTATTAAAGAGACAAGTTGGCTTCAAATTGAGATAAATATCTGAGTTGAAGTATAAATATCATTTTTTCTGTGACGGGAAAAAAGTAGACTTTTTGTACCTGTTGACAGGGGCAAAAATGCCACTTTTTCACCCATGGGAAAAAAGTGTTTTTTTTTTCCCACGGGAAAAAAGTAAAAAAGTAACAGGTACCAGTCAAATTTTTTTCTCAAAGGAGATAAGGTATAGATGGAAAATGTTGAAATTTCCCGTCACAGAAAAAAATAGTGTAGGTATTATACATGGGAAAAAGTAAGATTTTAGCGCTCGCTGTGTTGTCTCCCTCCGCTTCGCGTCGGGAGACAAACCAAACCTCACGCTAAAATCTAGTACTTTTTTCCCTTGTATAAATAACAATTTTTTTTTTTTTTTTTGGGCTAATCATTATGTGTAAAGGTTAAGAAAAGCTGCCAATATTGACATTGAAATTTGATCAAACCAAAATAAATTATACACTATCAGAAGGAGCATTAAATTCTCTATAAATCTGTTTTAAATTGAGTTTCATAGCTCTAATACTTTTTGAGCAATTGAGACTCAAATTTGAATTTTAGTCAAAATTTAGTCAAAAACTTCAAACACAATTTCCTCAGAACCATAAACCTGAAAATATTTCCCAATTCAGGTTTTTATAGACCCTAATGGGAGCTTCAATTTTTGAAAATTTTGATTCAATATCTCTCACAAACTTCAAGATATTGGGTGGTATGAATAAAAACGAAGTACCTATTACTACTACAAGTAAGTAGTATAATCTACGATCTACATAGTATTTACTTCAAAAAGAAGGATTTACTAATTCCCGGTAGTTTCGAAATGTAGTATCTACTTTGTTTTGAAGTAAATATTACGGAGAATCTACTAATACTTGTAGTAGTAGCAGATACTTCGTTTTTATTCATACCACCATTTGAATAAGAATCTTTTTGAAAAAAATCGAAATTTTTATTTTTTTTATTTTCTGAATTTTGACTTTTTCCAATCGATAGAGCAGATCCAAATTAGTCGGAAAAAACCCTAACATCATTTCCAAACATCCAATTTGAATAGAAAAAAAAATCCGAAAGAATATTTCAGTTTTTGGTTTTGAATTTTTGTTGAATCATGACAAGGTTAAGAAACATTGCCTACGTTCCCATTAAAATTCGAGTAAATTAAAATTAATTATACACCATTGAAAAGAGCATTAAAATCTCTATAAATCCGTCCCAAATTGAGTTTGATAGTTTAAATACTGTCTGAGCAGTTGAGCCGCAAAGTTGAACAATTTCAATTCACCAAAATTTCCCAAACTGTTGCTTCAACCCTCCTTCGGATCAATTAAAAATTTAACCTTAAAAAAAAAAAGTTACTTACAATTGCTGAAATTGATTCATCATCCCTGCATCATCTCTCAAAGGTGGAAAACCTGGTGGAGGCAAACTACCACCTTGCTGAGGCTGCGGAAGATGTCCCATACTGGGTGGCCCTTGTTGCATTTGTGGTGGCATACCCATCTGAGGTAACATATGCTGAGGCATATTCATATAGGGTTGTGGCTGATAGTTTTGCGGTAGCCCTTGCATCTGAGGATGGTAGCTCATTGGAGGAGGTTGGTGCATTACTGGTGGGGGAGCGCTGTTGTAAACAGTTGTAGCAGGGGCATAGCCATAAATAGGTTCAAAACCTGCTTTGCTCATTGGCGGCATTTGGGGCTCTCTCATCAATGTGTGATAGAGGCCTAGAGCTTCCACTAAATCAGCACTGAGCTGGGTGAGCTGGGCATGTTTTCTGTCCACGCGTTCCAGTTCATTATCAATCAGAGGCCCCATAGCGTTGACTTCTCTTTCTAAGCTCAATAGCTCATCGGTATCAGTTTCAGGATTGGTAGGATCAGCTTCGTGGAGTAAATGCAACAGCTGATTAATTTTGTCTTCATTTATTTCTATTTCTTCGGGTTCTTTTTCCAGGACTTTAATTTCTTCTTTAAATTGAACCATTTTTTTAGATTTTTCAAATAATAATTTTTCAGGCTCTACTGATAAATCTGCAGTTACAAAATTGGCTGGAAATAAACCTTCACCTCTTTGATTACTGCCTTTCCACCAATTTGGATCAGAATCATCTATGACCATAACTAACAACAAATATCAAATAATATTTAAACAAAAAAAAAAATTCTTACATCACTTACTTATTTCTCCAGAACTAAAAGTCAGCTCATTATCTTCAGCAGCTTCAAAATCGTAAAGGGCGCGCACTTTTCGGGCTTCTTTGGCTGTTGGAGAACTTGTAGATGCAGCAGAAAGGGCTGACATATTGTTGACTGAAGGATAAAGTGAGCTAGAAGCTGGCGAAGCTGAAGCTGCTATCGCTGAAGCACTTTTTGGAGAACCAGAAGTTTCTTTTAAAGACAATTCAATGGCCTTCAGAATTTGATCTTCTTCTTCTTGACTCTCAACCACATTTGGGTCAGTAGTTTTTGGCGTTCTTTTCTTCACAGGCTAAATTGTACAAGAATTATAGGTAAGTATTTATGTACATACAAACGTTTATAAGTAGTATTGTACTCACTGTTTCTGAACTAGAAAAATCGTAGCTCCCTCTAAGTTTGTGATACAGTGAAGGTATCAAGCTCAATTGTCCGTCAGATTTAAACTCGTTTTCCGACCAACGTTTCAAAGAATCTCGTAATTTTTTGGCTACATGTGGATGCCCTTTGGTCATCAACCTATTAAAATCGTTTTCAAAATCCCTAGAGGCTACTTCGATGTGGAATGTTTTGCCAGAGTTTTTAACGCAAGCGTCTAATAGCTGAAATAATAATTTTGTTGCAATAATAAATGCACTAAGTAAAAGAAAATAGCTTACAGTTACAGCTTTGATACCAACATGTGGATCAGAATTGTACAAACGTTTTACAATGGCTTTGAGCCAGGCTTTAGCGTCCTCACTGGATTTGCCGGCCTTATCACAAATGGTCATAATTTTTCCCCAGTCTTCTTCTACTAATTTGTCACTGGTTGCATTTTCTAAATAATGAAAGGCAATATTTAGAATTAAGTATTTTTAATAAGTCAAATTAGCTTCTTATTCACAACCAAAAGTCAATGTGCAATAGACTTTTTTCCCAGCTGAAATCGAATTGTACTAGAATAAAAATAACTGAAAATTTCAGCTTTCTATTTATTATAGAATGATCATTTGGGACCTCCCAAACTCATACTCTAAATTATTCTAAAATTTGAAGCCTAAATCTATGAAAAAAGGACCTCAGAAATATTGAAAAATTGATAAATTCACCTCAAATTGGTCAACGCGATTTTATTTTTGGAACTATAAGTACAAATGAGCTGAAATTTTCAGAGATTGTGATTAGGATAAGAATCGTTGAAAATTTCAGCTTTCTATCTCTATGTAGATAATAGAAAAAAAGTTATGATTTTTTAAAGTTTACAAAAATCTAAATCATAAGGCAAAAGCAGCAGATGATAAAATTTCAATTTTTTTTATGTTGAGATTTTGTGTCTCAATGATCATTCGGGAGCCCCCAAACTCCATACACTACTTAAATTATTCTGAGATTTGGAGCCGGATTCTATGAAAAAAGGCACTCAGAAAAATTGAAAAATTGATAATTCACCCCAAATTCAGGGCCAAATTGCGTAACATGTTGAAGTTTACAAAAATCTAAATCATAAGGCTTGAATAATAATGTCCTTAGGCTTTTACGAAAAAGCCTATCATTATAACTTATTTGAAATGGAAACTGATAAATGTTTAGACGTTTCTCTACACTTGAAAATTAGGGACCTTTTCGTCTGCTATAATATTTAAAAACCTTGGTCTATGCTCCCGAAGAAAAGTTGCAGGTAATTTTTCATTGCAATTGAAATAATAGCTAGTTATGCAACAAGTGTGTAAAGTGAACCTTTTTTATTGACTGTCAATTTTGACAATAACATAAGTGAAAAAAGGTGCTTCACCTTCACACACCTGTTGCATACAAAATTTTCTCTACTCAATAATATAAAGCCATAAATTTGAAAAAATATACCACTTTACGCCCTAGAGTATAAAGTAACTTACGTACTTCACAACCTAGGGTATAAGTCGAAGGTTAAACCACTAGTGGAAATCATTGTAAATTTTTTTAGGAATCAAATAGTATCTAATCATTCTAATCAATCAGGAATACATGGAAATCACTTGGCAATCCCTGGCATTAACCTAGGAATCGCTAGGAATCTCCTAGGACTCCATGGGAATCACATAGGAATCCATTGGCAATCGCTGAGAATCATGTGAAAATCATCTCATTTTAACCCAAAAATTGTGTATTTGCCTTTAAGACTAAGTTTCAGGAAACTTGAGTGCTAGACAATTTGAAATGAATATGATATCCCAAAGAGTTTCCCAATAGCCTCGCCAATAACTGAACCCGAGACTACGAAGAGTTTAAAACTTGAAGAAGAAGACGAATGAGATGAAGATTAGGTCTGTTCTCATAGAAACCAAAAACCAGTCAGAGCGTTTTTGATTGGTGCAAGTCGCCAACAACCAGTTTTCTGACTACTTTCAACCAATGAAATTCACTCTGACTGGTTTGTGATTTCTGCAGAAACAGACCTAAAGTATAACAATGTTGTGAAACATAAAAATGAAAACATGAATCTTGAAACATCTCTCGAATCCGACCTGCCAAACGAAGACACAGAATTTCTTAACACATCAGGGTTTAGCAAAACCATTCGCTACAATTAAGAGATTATTCAGGGCTCAACTTTAATTTGGTTCTTTTCAGAGAAGCAGGGACGTTTGTCGATCGAGTATTAAGAGCTATGGAAATGTCCCTGGGAAAGACACAAAAGGAAAAGTCGGGAATCCGAGGCAATAAAAACTTGAAAAGTAGAATAAATACTAGGCAGGGCGAGAAGCAAAAACGATAGCACATCTGAATCAGAATCAGAAATAAGTTTGTCAAGTAAAACCCTAACTGAAGATGTCTCTGATTCAGATGAACATCCTAGTGAAATCAAAGAAATATCCACTATTTTAGCTCCATATTATACAGTGTAGACACGCAATGTTATCTAGAGCTCAACAGCTATTTAAACCAACAACAAAATTGGTGTGGGTGTGGACAACCATGAAAATAAAAGTTGCTAACTATTGGAAGTGTTGCAAATACAGAAGTTGCCAATTTTTCAATGAAAACATGTTTTCATAAGAAAAAAAACTGTTTATTTTGGTCGTATCAATGCAAAACAATTAGACATCATTCAAATGTTCACATCTTTGACAGTACCGTCGAGTGCGTCAACAACAATAACAAAACAAACAATATCAATAACAATCCGAAGATCACCCTTAGCCAGGTAAATCGCGGCGTGGAAAATGCATGGGCTGCACAAAGAACAACAGTTAATGCAACAAGGAACCCTGAAGGTAGTCGCCAGTCAAAACTTCTGGGTGTTAAACAATCCCACAGTCATACTCGGACCAATCCTAATGATGAGAGACAGACACAAACACAGATGTCAGAGAGTGGTTTTGCAGGTGTAGCATCAAAGAAGTGGTTCCATGTTAGCAGAGTAGTTACCAGCGCTAATTGCCAAACACTATTAAAATACATCCAAGAAAAAATACCTGCCATAAGCCTAAAAGATATAAGTGTTACTCAACTAAGCAGCGGAGACGTCTTCAACAGTTTCAAGGTTGGTATCGACTCCTTATATGAGATTCAGCTCAAACAAGTGAATTTTTGGCCACCTTATGTGACAGTCAGAGACTATACATTTTTTAGAAATGACCGAGGAAATGATAGGCAACCTTTTGTAAAGCCGAGTCATTTTTTACAGAGAGGCCAGAATCGATCTCAAAGACCGCAGAGGTATTAGGTACTGATGCTCATTCTTTGAATATATATTACCAAAATGTAAATGGGCTAAGGACAAAACTTGTTGATTTGTGTAATAATATTTCTACTTGCCATTATGACATTATTATGATGACAGAGACTTCTTTGAATGATGAGTACTCAGATGCTGAACTCGGTATGTGCAATTATAATATCTACAGAAGAGACAGAAATGCTCTACAGACTGGTAAGAATAGAAATGGAGGTGTACTAGTGGCTATACTTAAAGGTATACAGTCCCGATTGATTGACATAGCTAATGAGCACTCTGAAGAAGTGTGGGTTGCTGTGGAATTTGGTTCTTTTAAAAAATTATTTTGTTGTGTGTATATCCCACCTGCCTCAAATGCACAACAATATGACCTCCACAGTACCGCAGTTGAACGTGCGGCGCAAGAATATCCAGACTTCGGTTTGTGTATTGCAGGTGATTACAACCTACCAAAGCTTGCATGGACCAATGATTCCTTGGGTACTATGACCACCGGGTACTGCCCTGCAGCTGAGTCAATCATACAGACTTTTCCTTTCCTCAATCTCTGTCAAATAAATACCATTCGGAATGTTAACGGTGTACTTCTTGACTTAATTTTTTGTGATAATTGCTCTGATTGTGTGGAACTGATAGACGATCCATTATTGAACTGTGATAGGCATCATCCTGCTTTATTAATTAATGTTAAATGTGATACTGTCTGTGATTTTTTAGAATTTGAAGATGAAATTTATGATTTTTGTAAATGTAATTTTAATGCAGTTAGTGAAATACTGCTGAATATATATTGGGATGTAGTTTTAGATTCTTGTATCGACAGTGATATAGATTTATTTTACAATATTGTTTGTCAAGCCATTGAGTTGCATACACCAAAGAAAAAAATTAAAAATAAGTTTAAATTCCCAATATGGTTTAGTCCTGAATTGAAAAATCTCACTATTGGCTCATAAAAGATACAAACATAATTGTTATAGCTTGGAAGATTACAATTATTTTAAACAGCTGAGAGCTGCTTGTAAGGTTCAAGCAGAAAGATGTTATTTTGATTATATTGAGAGAACTGAGCATAATGTAGGTATTAAAAGATCCCAAAAATTTCTGGAAATATATCCATTCTTAAACTCATTCTAGAGAGTTGCCACCTACACTCCATTATCAGGGGGGCGTGGCGTCTGATGGTGAGGGCATTGCAAATCTCTTTGCAAGGCACTTTGCATCGGTCTACGCGTCTGCTGGTCCTACGGGTAATGTGAGCAGTTGTGAACTTGTTGCTTTTCGAGACATGGTACATATCAATAAGTTATCTATTAACATTGGTGAAGTTTTCAATAAGCTGAATCACATCAATATAAATAAAGGTCCAGGACCTGATGGAATACCTCCAACATTTCTTAAGAACTGTGCACTAGCCTTATCTAGACCCTTGTGGCTGTTGTATAATAAATCATTGTCTGTTGGAGTTTTTCCAAAATATTGGAAACTATCTTTTGTATGTCCGATTTCCAAAAACTCTGGCAACAAGGAAGATGTTGAGAATTATCGCCCTATTACATTATTGTCTCATTTCCCAAAGATATTTGAATCACTGGTAAACGATTTTTTAACTGAAAAACTTAAAAATATAATAATTCCAGAACAGCATGGTTTTACCAGTGGTCGATCTATAACAACAAATTTGCTAGTGTATGAACGAGCCATATCGGGGGCCTTGGAGGCCGGTCAGGTTGTAGATTCTATCTATACCGACTTCTCCAAGGCCTTTGATAGGGTGAGTCATGCATTGTTGATAGGAAAACTTTCCAAATATGGTGTATGTGGTTCACTTCTTCAATGGCTGTATTCTTATCTTGTAGACAGAAGCCAGATTGTAAAGGTGAAGTCATTTCAATCTGAGGTTATTAGTGTTACCTCTGGGGTGCCTCAGGGGGGTCATCTTGCACCACTCCTGTTCTGCTTATTTATCAATGACATAGGGTCTTGCTTCCATCATGTCCAATTTTTGTTATATGCCGATGACTTGAAAATTTTCAAGAGTATAAATCAAGAAGGCCCAGACAGGGGAATGCAGGATGATCTTCTGAGGTTCCATGAGTGGTGTGTTGAGAACGAGATGACATTGAATGGCAAGAAATGCAAATATATTCAGTTCTCTAGGAAAAATTCTCCCAAACTAAATGACTATTATATAAATGATAATGTTATTGAAAATGTTTCTAGTATTCGTGACCTAGGTGTTGTATTCGATGCAAAATTGTCATTTTCTGAACACATTTATGCATGTTGTAATAAAGCATTGAAAATGTTGGGTTTTATCAGAAGACACACAAGAGACTTTAAGAATGTTTCTGCTCTCAAGTGTTTGTATGTGTCTTTGGTTCGTTCCCATCTTGAAAATAATAGCTGTGTGTGGTCACCACATTATAAAATGTATGTTGAATTAGTTGAAAGTGTACAGAGAAAATTCTTGAGATACATAGGGTACAAAATAGGAATACCTTCAGATTTTATTGATCATGGTCAGCTTTTGCAGAATTTGTCATTGGAAACATTGGAGCATAGGCGTAGAAAATTTGATCAGTTATTGATTTTTAAGTTGCTCAGAGGTTATCTGAATTGCCCTGAGTTGCTCTTGGCTGTAAACTTGAATGTCCCAGTGAGGAATTTTAGAGCTGTGCACTGTTTTTCGTTGGAGAGACATCGTACCTCTTATGGCCAACACACAACCATTAATCGGGCTATGTCTTATGCCAATGAGATACAGGTGGACATATTTGCTGCGTCTTTGCACCAAATGAAGCAATCACTGTGATATTGTTTTGTAATCTAGTGATTTACCCTGTGATCTGTTTTTGGCTGTTTTTTGTTGTCCTTTCAATTTTTTAATTTAGAAATAATTTATTGTACTCTTTTTAAAATTTTTATTTATAAGTATGTGGTTTGTTATTAGTATTAATATTATTATTGTGGCAATATTTGTAAAATTGGGCCGCTGCCCGTTGGAAGTGAAAATAAATAAATAAATAAATCATTTTTGTAATAAAATTAGCTGGAAATCGGATGATTATAGGAAATCATTGAGGAAATCAGGTAATTAATTAGGAATGATATAGGAATTCCCAGAAAAAATGGAAATCACCTGGTAATCATGCAAAAATATCTGAAAATCATTGGCAATCAGTCGCAATTCTTTGAATGGGAATACATGAGAGTCATTGATCAGTGATTGCCAAATATGAAAATCATTGTACATTTGTAAGCATACCGATTGACCCCTCAGTATAAGTAAAATCATGTTTTCAATGCAAAATAAGGGCAGCAAAGGCTTTTATAATATCAAATTTTATACATACTTGCGGGTATCTACTATTTATGTAGGTATTTTTGCTAACGGCCAATTTCATAATCAACTTAAAGTAAACTTTAAATTTAATGCTCTATTTGAAGTTGAAAAATCCTATCCTTAAAGTCTATTTAGCTAAAGTAACTTTTAATTCTCTATTATGAAATTGGCCGTAAGAAACTAATACAGTTTATCGGTTCTGGTGAACATTAGGACCCACAGAATCTAACAATTTTTGAATATGTAATAGAAACATTATTGCATTTTGGACTTATTAAAACAAAAAAAACGATGGATGAACTGAGATTTTTGCCAAAAAAAAACTTCTTTGGAAAGTAGCTATAGATACCTAGTTAGGTACCTCACATAATTATCATGTGCATGCCAAAGATATAACAAACAGCTGATTAGCTGATTGATAGATTGAGGATGGTTCGATTTTGCCTAGTTTTTCTAGAGCATTTTGATACCTTGATATTTTTTGTGGAATTTGAATGTTCATATTTCAACTGAATTGTTTATGTTTTGCAGGCGCGATGGTTGGTAGATATGCAAAAATATCAATTTATTGGTTTGTTGAAGTTAAAACTAACTAGTGTAAGAGCTTAAAATGGAGGTGTCTGTCTCTATAAAAACAGTGATACAACAATATCGATTTTTCAGAGATATTTGTTCATGAAAATTGCTTCAAAATGATGATTTGTTTCTATATGGTGAGAAATATTTAAATTTAATAAAACCAAAGACATGATAGTTTTTAATTTATAGAAATTGTTCTAGTATGTTTTTTGTTTACTTTACGCTTTAGTGTGTAAAGTGAATGACTTTCCGCACTACACCATTTCCAATAGTATTTTAGAAAACTTCAATTGTATTTTAGAATAGTCATTTGTACCTATTTAAGAAATCCCCCATATGAATAATGAAATAAATTTCTTAAATACAAATGATTTTTCTGAAATACAATTATCGAAGCTTTCTAAAATACTGTTGGAAATGGTGTATTATGTGACATGTAATTTTACATCTTTTGAAGAGTACTTGAAGCTCAACTTAAAGTAAGTAGGTAGGTACTTTACATAGTCAAGCATACACTAGCAGAAAAAGTGATTTCCATAGGACATTGTTCCTACGATCAATTGTCCCCAATCCATATACTGTATAAATAAGTACTTTAAAGAATGATAATAAAGTGTTGTTGATATCAGTAGCTCATTGTTAACTAATGAATTAATTAATCACACATCGAGGCCATTTTTATGCCAAATATGTTGCAACTTTGTTTTGTTGGCAAGCCAAAAATCCATATAAAATCAGTGAAATTTAATTAAATTTGAATTTATGAAGGTACAAACAAACCACAAGACAAAAATTGAATAAATAATTAAATAAATAAAAATGACTCACCAACTTCTTCAACAATAATCGCATCTGTGGTGTTCCCAAACAGGCCCATTTTTTTATTTAATTCAACGACGATGTTACTTGATCAGATTTTAGAATAATTTTAGCTTATTTTCGAACCGAGTGAATCATAATTTATTGAAAAAAAGCAGATAAATAGAATACAAAATTTATTGATAAATTTTTGTTTTTACAGACGAATATTTGTCAGTGGATTTTTTCTTTGACGGAGGATTTTGACAGTGACAATTGTATAACAGTGTTGTCATATCATCCAAGAAGAGTTTATCGATATTCATGGGATATGGGATGTCAAAGTTTTTGCATCTTTTCCATATCGATATTGATATGAGAAAATTTCAATACTTTCGATACGAAATTTTTATGATTTGTAGCAAGTCCAGTGAAGAACATTCTTGTTTTCTCGAATCTCGATGGAGACTTGGCAACGTTCACCTCACCACCTGACAAATGTCAAGATCAAAACCTAACCCTACTTTTTTCACTTATTTATTTATACAAAAATAAAAGCTTATTTGAATAAATAATAATTATCTTTTAGATTAAACAAGGACATTTCTAGGTCCTCAATATAATAATGCTACGTATAATTAACAATTTCAACTTCCTAAGGATATCTGCTACTGAAGCCATCAGTTACTCCACTAGTTCCAACACTCTGCCTTATAATCCTGCTTTACTACCTGTGAAAAAGTCGCACAGAAAACCGCGATGGGTGCCCATAGCGAAAAGCAAAATATTTAGGATACCAAAAAGGTAAAATAATTTCTCATTCTTTTACGAGATAATAACCAAAAAACAAATTTTAGGCCTGTTATTCCTGAAGATGAAACTCGAGAAATCCGTAGGTTATTCAACGACTACAGAAATCACGAGAAATCGGTGAAAAATTTCTTGGTTGAAAAACATAACACTAAAAACCAAGCAAGTTTAGATCCCGAAGAAATTTTAAAAAGCTTCAAACAAGACCTTGCAGTTTGCCACGAGATCAATAACAAATGGAACAAAGAAAATAAAATTTTAAGAGAAAAACGACTGGCTGAAGAATTGGAACGAGACATTGCTTTTGCCAAAAACAGAATTGAGCAGGAGATAATCAAGGAACAGGAATTGTTTGAGTTTACTGAAGAATTGGTTAGAAAGGAAAAGGAAGCTTCAGTTAACTTCATTACTAAAGAAAATATTGATGATGCAATAGATAAGGCACTTGCAGAAGCTGTGGATTATAATTTTGCCATTGATTTAAATGGAGAAAAAATTATTGGCAGGAATACAAAACCAGTGCAAGAACAAGACAAAATTAGTTTAAAACAATAATATATTTAAGTCATGAAAACAATGATTGTAAAAATTCATTTCTTGTCTCTTTGCTTTCATCTTCAACATCCTTATGAGTACTTGTACCAATTTCATCCATATTTTCAAATTCTTTATTAACACTGTCAATGTTTTTCTTGTTTTTGTCCAAATTAGCTGTGAAGAAGTTAGTCTTTTTCTTGGCCATTTGGATTTCTGCTTTCAATTTTTTGCTTCTAGCTGCTTTTTCATAGGCAAGCCTTTCGTGCAAGTGTGTCCACTTAAAGTTTGATAAATACTTAATGTTCCACGTGTAATCATATTGTTTGGATTTTTTTCTGGTGCTCACTTGGGTGTTGTTTAGAAGAGCGGCCACACGTTTGGCCACGCATTTTTTTTCGTATTCCACCCAACCTTCTGTGAATTTTTTGCTGGTTTTGCGTTTTCTTTGCTTTTTATCTTGGAATTTTTCTGCAATAATAACGAGTCAATTAAATTGGGTATTATTTTGATAATATAGGGTACTTGCCTTTATCCAATAATTGGAGATATACTCTGCCTACTTTTCCAAATTCGCTGAAGACTTCCCTGATTTTGGTTACATTCATATAAGGTGGTATGGTGGATAGGTATAAAATGCCCTTTTTTGAAGGTTTGTGTTCTACTTTCTTTTCTGGTTCAAGGCTGGAGCTGGAGCAAGGTTCCTGTTCTTGTGGGGCAGTCATAGTCCTTTTAAAATAAACGTTAATTTACAAATTCAAGGAAATGAAGTAGTTATTATTAAAAAAAAAGAGGTTATGTTATGTTCGTTATGTTTTTTCTTCTTTCTGGCATGAAGTATGATATGCTGGTTATAAGTTGTATTCCTTTCAAGAGCTTGAAACACTCGAGCTACTCGCTTCGGTGCTTAGTCGCCCCCGATTTGCAGGGAACATATGCGTGGTGCAACAAAAACTTTTCGAAAGGAATAAGCGCGTGAAGCCCCGGAGCTGTTCCGGGGCTCCTCCTAGGTGTGAAAGGAATACAACTATAGCAATTTCATTCATTAAAGAACCTAGCTTTGTACTGGGGTCGTATTTTCGAATTCATTCGAGTACATTTCGTACCGATTGGTGTATGGGATTGGTATGGGGTTTCCGATTGGTAGATCTAGTGCGGAACTAGTGCAATTTTTTTTATTTCTATCTTTTTCTTCTACAGGTCAATTGAAAGGATGCAAATACATTCAGTGCGCATTGAATCTACCAATCGGAAACATCAGTAGATTCAGTGCGCACTGTATTTGCATCCTTTAGTCAACGCATAGAAGAAAGACAGAAATAGAAAAAATTGCACTAGTTCCGCACTAGATCTACCAATAAAAGTGTGACTTGTCATTAGTTGTATTCCTTTCAAGAGTTTGAAACACTCGAGCTACTCGCTCCGGTGTTCAGTCGCCCCCGATTTGCAATGAACAGATGCGTGGTGCAACAAACACTTTTCGAAAGGAATAAGCGCGTGAAGCCCCGGAGCTGTTCCGGACTCCTCCTAGGTGTGAAAGGAATACAACTATTGGAATCATACCATCCGCCCCCGTGGGGCGGATTACGAACTCTCGATTCGAACCGAAACCGCCATGGATTTCGAACGCACTCCATGTGAATGCATAGGAATGCGTTCGAAATCTATGGCGGTTTCGGTTCGAATCGAGAGTTCGTAATCCGCCCCACGGATCGAGTTGCGTCTCGTTGTCGAGTCGTGTGACTCGTGTGTCAAATCGTGCGTGATTTTATAGCGTTTTCCATTTGGCAAATCAGTGCAAAAAAAAAATGTATCCTTATCAGTTCATTGAGAATCCCTACCCTCTTGTTTTACCAAAAATGACATCTGCGCGCAACTCATGGCTGCAAGTGTAGCCGCCTGGGACTCTGTAACGGATAGAGATCGTTATCCCTATCGCTATGGCACTTGCTGTCTTCTTCTCTCTTCTCGAAATCAATAGAGAGGGAACGTCAATAGAGATAGAGAAAACGATCTCTATCCGTTACAGAGAGATTGTATTATTGGTAGCGTTTACCAGGAGTGCGTTCAAGGACGGCAATGCTAATGCCAAAACCTACTTTTCCCCCTCCACCTGTAATGCCGAACCACGTAGTTTGGAGCCGAACTCGAACGCAAAATGCCAATTTTGGCTTGGCCGTAGCCATTCCTGAACGCAGCCCTGGACTCATGATTTGAGAGAGAAAGGCCGTTTTACAGCTTGCAATATGCAAGAAACTTGAACGAGGGCATGCGCAGAAGTGAGTCAGGTGATTGTTTTCTGCAAGATTCTTAAAACTTGAATGGCATTGCATGCAATCGGTTTGGTGCCATTTTTCTTGAAGGTTTTCGCGCAAGCTGAGGAATTTTTAGCAATTATGACTTAAAGTGGCTGCTATTGCTTTCTTCTTTTTATATCGACTTATAAACAGTGAGGGAAAAATCAGTAAGATGTTTCAAAATTATAAGAAATTGGCTACAAACATACAAATTAACGTTAAATATATTAAAAACTAACTATATAGCTTTCTCCCTCAATAATGTAAACCGACCTTTATTTAATTCAATAATTGTTGATGATCAGACTATCAAGGAAACCGCTTCTACAAAATATTTGGGGATCATAATTGACAAGTTTCTTAAATGGCAACCTCAAATTGAATATCTATCTAACAGAATACGGAAACTTATACACAAATTTTACTTATTGAGAGAATTTTTAAATAGAAAACATTTGATGATGGTGTATAAAGCCTTCATCGAATCCATTATCAGGTATGGTATTATTGTTTGGGGAGGACTATACAATAATAGTCTACACAAACTAAACATTATACAGAAATACATACTTAAAATTATATTCAAAAAAGATAGATTATACCCATCACATTTACTTTTCAATGATGATATTTGTAGCGTAAGATCTATATATATATTGACAGCGTGCACTTTCATGCATAAGAACCCTGAACTGCAGCATTTTGTTGACCATAAACATAACACTCGTACCAGAGCAAAAAATAGTTTACAACTACCAGTGAGCAACAACAATCTAAATCTGAAATATATAAATTATTTAGGACCAAAAATTTACAATTTATTGCCTTTCTCCATAAGGAAATGTGGAAATTTGAAATCTTTCAGAACTCTAAGCAAAGAGACAGTTTTACGAAATCACCGTCAATTTGAAAGGTTGTTTGATTGAGGCCTAATTTGGGTATAGGTTTAATTTAGGATTAAGTTAAATTAGGTTTGATTTGGCATTGGAGTTAGGTGGGTGATAACGGGGTTTTTGTCGATTATTCATTTTGTTACTTTCTTTTTTCTTTGTCATTCTTCTTCTTAAATAGGGGAAAAGAGGTTGCGAACTGTTTGTGTTCGCCGACCGTCTAAGTATTTGTGATATTTTTTTATTTTTTTCGATTTTTTGATTCTCTTTAATTGTATAACATATCCCTAACATTAAATTAAAAATATTGGGTACCTACATTTACAGCACATACAGATGTTTATAACATCTAGGTGCTACAAAATAAATCTTGTTTAATATGAATTTAATTAAGAGTAAATCCTTACAACTTATTGTGAATCAAAACTTGTATGTATGATCAAATAAATAAATAAAATAAATAAATAATCACTTTTTTCATTATTGGAAAGTGCAAACATCAACAACACAACATTAAAAACAGCGTTGCCAGACGTACGACAGGTGTAGTATTTGTACGACAGTTCGGGGCATGTTCGTTACAAGAAAATCAATGCGTACGGTAGTACGGTAATGTACCACAGCTTTGAAATCTTGGGTTGAGTGGGTAATATTTTATGGTAATATGTACCTTTCTAAATTCTCCTTTTTTCTTATGAGTGCTGGCCAAATTGGGAAAAAAAAATTATAACAGAGTTGCTTGAATACAGTCTATAGGCAATTTTTCGCGAGAATAATCAAGCATAATCGATTATGCTGGATTAGGTGATGTCGATTGTGTCATACTCCCCTTACTCCGTCGGGGCCCAAGAATACCTAATTTCTACTGTAAGAACAGAGAACAGACCAAAAAAATTAACTCCTAGCACATCCTGAATCGCGACCATTCCATCGAGGTCTGCGGGTGACGTCATCATTATAATCTGTTGATAGTGACGTCACTCGCAGGCCCAAAATCTGATGGTGAGGGAGTTAGAGGGGAGTATGACACAATTGACACATCAAATAACCCAGCATAATCAGATTATGCTTAATTATCCTTGCGAAAAATTGCCTTATAAGCTTGAGAAAGTTGAGCAATTATCAAAGTTCGAGGATTATTCCGATAGAAATTTTTTTGACAGGAATTTTCATATTAAGTTAGCAATTATTGTCAACGTTACAAAAGAATTTATTTCCCATTTGACTTATTATCCACAAAGTACTTTAATCGAGATGACTTTAGTAAATTTAATAAATAGTTTTATTTGATTTCCGGACACTCCTGTTGCTGTAATTTTTAATGCAAGGTCTATTTTCAAGTTTTCAACATTTTGCGCTCTCCAAAAAAATCATATTTTTCAAGTAAATATGTACCTACTAAAAATGTAAAGTAATGTGTACCACAAGTATTTGTGGCGCGTACGTCCCTGTACGACAGTTTTTAGCGTGTACCACACTTCCATATTTAGAGTCTGGCAAAGCTGATTAAAAACAAAAAAGTATTGTTGAGGTTAGAGAAGGAAACAAGTCAAATTGCAAGGTGTAAAACGACGTGCAAAAAATCTTGAATGCAACTTTCTTGCATGCAAAAAATTGCATTCAAGTTTTCTTGCAAGCTGTAAAACGGCCTTAAGCGGCTTTGATCCAACTACAGTGACTATAAGCCTTTACATACAGTGGCGACAATAAAGATCCCGCCGCCATTTTGTGCCCAACCTATTGTTACTTTTAATAGTTATTTGTATACCAAGGCCGCGAAGTGCCTTTTAGCGTACGTAGAGAAAAGTTATCGCCGAGGCCGCTTGCGGCCGAGGCAAGATAATCTCGAGGACGCTAAAAAGTTTCGCGGTCATGGTATACACACTATTTTTTGTGCAACCATGAAAATTATGTGGAATTATAGAAAAAAATGTACTCCTTTCAACAAACATGTGGAACTAATTACCAGTTTGATGTATAACCTGGTGGCTATGGTGGCACAGCGTTTCCATGGATGTCATGGATGACATATTTTGCAAGTAAACAAATACACAAAAAATTTTGACGGTTCTCAAAAAATCGTGGATGTTTCACTCTCTTGCACTCCTCCAGAGCTAAAAAATATGGTTCAATCAGCTATTTCTGAGTTAATACCTGGAAAACTAAGCGGCAATATGAAAATTGTTACTGCGAGTTCAAAAAATTGGTGTGACAAACAAAACGTCAAAATGGTGTCTGAAAGCATATTGGCTAATTTAATGCCGAAATGAGAAGTTTTGAGAGTTCAATTCAAAAACACTGGATTATTAGTTGCTTCAGCTTCAGGAGTAAATATTAGTAATAATGCAAACTGTGATGTAAGTGTTAATATTTATCCTAAATAATTTATGTTGTTCTGAAGAATTTGGAAATAAAATTTACTTATTGTTGTTGTCAAAGTGTCAAATTTTGATTTATAGTTTCGCGGCCGTCACCAAGGGCAACGGCCGCGAAATTGAATTTCGCGGACTGTGTGGCGGCCGCGAAAGCTCATTTTGCGGATGGTTGCACAAAAATATAAATATATTATAGGATTTAAATGGACATCCATCATAAAAAATTGAAAACAACGTATTTGATGACTATTATTAGGATTAGGTGCAGTCGTGAGCATTTAAAGTGGGACACCCGACTGACAGGTCTTGTAATTTTTCGCTATTTTGGGTAAATCATGGCCGTTTCCACCAACGCAAATTTAAGTTTACTTAACGTTAAGTGCCGCTTATATTATAATTTTGTTTCCACCAGTCTCACCTAGTATCATCAAGATAAGCTTAACTAAGCATAGAAATTTCTAGGACCTTAACAAAGTGGGGATGATAAGCGCAAGCAATTTGCATCATACCTATATGTTTTGTTGACATAACCAAACGTTAAAATTGAATTGAGATAAATAATGATCTCAATTTTCTAATGTCTGGTGTAGATACTCCGTCTGTTTTCATTTTTATTTTCGATTATATGTTCTCATTTTTTGATGTTAGTGATAATAGCAGCACTTTTTCCTTTATTGTATAGTTGGGTGTCCGGCTTTTTTGAATAAACTGTCCCTGTTTGTTTCTCTTCCCCGACTCCACGCTGCTCTAGACCAGTGGCGACGCCAGGGTTTTACGTTAGGGGGGGCCAGGCTGGGCCAGAAAAAATTAGGAGGGGCACTTGTTCTTACTTTATTGCTTTTCTTCTTTGAAATAAAAAATGGGAATTGCAAAGTTTTCCCGTATATTTTTGCACTCCACCTGAACAGGTGGTGCGCACTGCTAGTGTGTGAAGTGAATTACTTTACGCACTAGTGCGTGAAGTGAAATTTTACATCTTCTGAATAGGTAGTAGAAAAAGGTTTTTATTTGGATTTTGTATACAGGTTGTCCGGTTTTCGAGGACAACGATTGGAATATAGGAAACGGTAAGAGATACAAAATCGCAATCAATGGCCAAATGTGTTACTGCTTTTGTGAGATCAAGAAACTCCGAATACAATAAAGTTGATGATGATCGGCAAAAGACGAAACGTCGGATTTCAAATTTGGTTACACCATTATGTAAAGGGGAGAAAGTTGCCCCAATTAAGTGAAGTTTATTTGAAATACCTTTACAAATGAGTCCAGGAAAAAATAGAAATGATTTTACAAAATTTTGATTTCCGTGTATCTCCGGAAGTATTCGGAATTTTCCAAGTAGCGTTTTGTTAAGCAAGAAATTGCGCAACTTTGTCCCAATTTAACCGAACCTGTATCTCTTACCGTTTCCTATATTCCAATGATTGCTCTCGTAAAACGGACACCCTGTATAGGTAAATCTTCTTGATACCTATTCAATTAACCGTTCAGGGTCGGTTTCTCAATAGCTAGTCCAGGGTAAACGTGTCCAATTTCAATGTTTACCCTGGAGTTATGGTTAACTGCTCTGACCCGGGGGTGACTTGCTTGCTATTGAGAAACCGGCCTTCAGGTGAGGTGCCAAAAATACACAGGAAAACCCTGTAGCTGCCAACACAAATATGTTTGGGGGGATCCCAGAAAAGCGAAAGCATAGTCGCGGTTGCCTGGTGCTCACCAAATATCAATACTAACAGAATATGTTGGGTAAACTCTTGGTTCTGCTGAACGATTCAAATTTTCAATGATAGAACGTCACCTTCTGAATGACAGGTCACCACACAAAACAGAGTATTGACAATTGACCTTTTGTTTAGACGCCATATTGCGGTGCGCGAACATAGTTGCCAAAAGTAGGAAAAAAAAATCACTAGCGTACTGTCAACATTAAAAGCAAAAGTTACTGAATAAATTACATTTAAAATTCAAATTTGCCGCCTATTACCAATGTTTTTGAAAAGAAAAGCCATCAATTTTAACTTGTTATTGGGCAGAATAAAAATAATAAAATATCTACCTATTCACTTTACCAAACTTCGGTTTCCTTTCTCAAGCCTAGTACCTACTCATAACCGCGAAATTCGCTGTTTTTTGACATTGCTTCGACAATTTGACGTTTAATTCATTCCGCAGATTCATGCATAAAACGTCAAATTGTCGAAGCAATTGTCGATTAAAGGCGATTAACCAGTCGGTTATATTGACAGATAAACGATGCATTTAACGTCATTTATAACCGATTGGTTGACAAATGACGTTTGCTTCATTGATTATCTGTCAACTATGACCGACCGGTTAATCGCCTTTAATCGATGAATGTCAAAAAAGAGCGAATTTCGCGGTTATGAGTCCTAGACTTTATTGTTTATAGAATCAGAGAGAGAAAGTAAACAAACAAAAAGGATAGTGAGGATCAATCATTTAGTTACTTTTGTTTTTAATGTTGACAGCTCGCTAGTAATTTTTGTTTTCTTCTTTTGGCAACTATGTTCGCGCACCGCAATATGGCGTCCAAACAAAAGGTCAATTATAAACACTCTGAAATTATGCTTGCAAAAATGGCGACCGTTTGCAAAGTTTGGTTTTAACACAAATTCAACATAGCGTTCAGCAGAACAATCGCAAACCGTTTACCAACGTTTGTATCTGGTGAACGCGGCCAATTATTATTTTCATCTAATAAAAATTGACCTTTTGTTTCCACGCCATATTGCGGTGCGCGAACATAGTTGCCAAAACAAGAAAACCAAAAATTACTAGCGGGCTGTCAACTAGATATTTTATTATTTCTATTCTGCTCAATACAAGTTAAAATTGATGGTTTTTCTTTCCAAAAACATTCGTAATAGGCGGTAAATTTAAATTTTAAATGTAATTTATTCATTAACTTTGGATTTTAAAGTTGACAGAACGCTAATAATTTGTTTTTCTGCTGTTGGCAACTATGTTCGCGCACCGCAATATGGCGTCCAAACAAAAGGTCAATTAGCGGGAAACGTCGAATGACAGATAACATTGACACGACTTGTATGTAAAAACGAAAAAGTACGCAAATCTTTCAATTAAAATTCAATGTTGCCAAAGCTTCACGACACGCTAAGCTTGCACTCAAAAACTATGGGGAACGAAATTATATTTGAGCGTCCCTTAACTTTTAAGGGCTTCATAGTTAATCAAAGCTTAGTTATAGTTTGGTGGAAATGGCCAACAGTCTTTGTACAACGGATTTTTTGTCAAATAATAGGTCTGTTTCTGCAGAAATCACAAACCAGTCAGAGCGATTTCCATTGCTTGAAAACTTACAGAAACAATCAGAAAACTAGTTTCAACCAATGAACATCTTTCTGACTGGTTTGTGATTTCTGCAGAAACAGACCTATTAGGTCTGTTCCAACTCGTCAAAAACTGTCCCAAGAACGGTTTCAAAACCACTCTGTATACGAATTTAGGATTCTACGCACAAATAGGGTACTTGCATGGAAAATTCAATTGATTATTGTTTATTGCAAACTGTAGGAAATCGAAAAAAAATCGTTACTTTTTTTTTATTCCGCCCAAATATGATTATTCCGGAAGTTATACAAATATTAAGTTTTTTATATAAAGATATACTGAGCATGTGCGATGTCACAACTCACATCGTATTATACCTAAGTTATGACGTCGGAAGGACATTTCAAAGCGTTGTATCTCCGACAATTTTTGACTAACAAGAAAAAGAAAAAACACGTGTTGACTTATTTTTCATGGACTATCGAAATCAGCAATAAAAAAATTTGATGCAAGGGGCCTATTTTAAGCTTTGCACAGAATCGTGACGGTACATTGTACGGTTTCTTGGGTGTTGGAACAAACCTATAATGACAATCCCTGTCATTGCCGAAGGTGTAACTTTGAGCCCGTTTCACAACCATTCAGGTTTTACAGCCTGTCAAAGTTGGAAAAAGTCAATTTTCAACTGTCAATTATTCCAAAACAGTTGAACTTAGGTATAGGGTATATTACATAAAATCTGCTCAGAATTTTACGTAAGAATCCAAATATGCAATCACATATACAGGGTGTTCCATTTAGAATAGCGATGTTGCCACTGGTTTAGAGTAGAAGCGGCAACACCGCATAAACAAAAATATTTTTAAAGTTTAGATCATGGTCGTTTATCCCGGTTGCCAAATTTTCAAAATGATCCGCTTTTTAGTTCTCCTTTAACGTCTAATACGTCATCCACCGTGGGACACCCTGTATATAGGATTTAAATGGACACCCATCATAAAAAATTGAAAACAACGTATTTAATTTACGTTGTTTTCAATTTTCAATGATGGATGTCCATGTGAATCCTATATTTTCAAATTTAAAATAGACCTATCTATTTTTACCTGGTATGCGCGCGCAACACGAGGCAATGCCTTTCTATTGGCTAACCAGTACAGGTGAGAAGTGTTCGTTTTGTACGCTGAGTATCTCCTTGTCCTTGTTCATTGCCCGTGGTCTGACAAGAATAAAAGTACGATTAATATTCAACTTGACATTACTTCACAAGTGACATTCGAAAATTGTTTTTGACAAATACGTTGCACAACATGCGGTCTTTCTCCTTCCTTTTTTATCCCGTGCAAATAAGAAGAACGGATTGTCTCGTCTTGCGCAATGAACATTCTGTGTCTTTTTTTATGTAATGAAGTTTTCGTATAATTAGCTCTTTGTCTGGTAAAATAGATAAGTCTATTAGCAAGAGGTAGGGCCCAAAATGGCGGCGTTTTCATTCCATATGAATATATAGGATTTTGAAGAACCAATCGAAAATAACACTTCAATGTCGCCACTGTGGTTTAGAGTCACTGTAGTTTAAACCAGAGTCACGTGAAAAGGACTATAAAGTCTGTTTTATTTTTAAAGATTCCCCAAGTCAAAAATTTAGTAACTATGTTGGCAGCACAAGCATTTTCTACATAAATTTTTTTAAAGCATTGACAATTTTACATTGTATTGCCAACATAATGTCATTTTAACTTTTATCTTAAAAAAAAACACATTTTAGTGATTTTTCTTTTAAATTTTCATTAGTTTTTCCATTAGGAAAATCTACTGCTTACAGCCCCATGAAAATGAAAATAGATTCAGAAAGCTTCTCCTCAACTGGTTGAGTTCCTCATCGGCTCAACAGATGGCGAACCATGTAGGCAATTAAAATTATATTATAATAAAACCTAGAAAAGCTTTGAAATACACTATTATACCTGGTTTTTATTATTTCAAGCACTTGATTCGTAATTTGTTTCAATAAATAATTACAAATTAATAAATTACCCATTAAAAACAATTAGTCGATATGCGCAGTAGATAAGAGATGGCGCTGCACTAGAAAAATCACTTTATTCAATTTAAAAATAATTAAAAACGGAAACATTATTGAGATTTTCTAAATTAATTATTATGAGGTTGTTTAAATAATTAATGTTTAATTCTAGATGATTTTTATATTATTTTTCCTAAAATATAAAAACAAATAAAAGAAAATTCTGTTGACAGGTGCTCCAACAATGTTTTGCCCCTAACCTTGAACACGACCAATCGGAATCGAGTATTGCGTGTCGCGACCAATCGGATCGCTCGTTACATCAGGGTCAACAGAACCTCTTTTCTTCAAAAGACGAAATTTTATGGCGGCCATGTTGAAAATATCAATTTTCTTGGACGTGTGATACGATTTTTCTCGAGAAAAATGGAAAAACAATTCTCCTCTAATAAACGATTTTTCGCGTTTTCACGTTAGTGACATTATCGGGCGTTTTCTAAATAATTTCCTTGTGTGTGTATTCAAAGTCGCAGGCAGGACCTTGAATTTTTGTTTGGCTGTGGAGCAGCGCTAAAAACTCCCCGAGAGGATTTATAATGTTCGATTTTGTTGAAACAGGTAAGTGGTCGACTAATTTACGTATTGTCATTGGAATTAAATCGATTTTGGTTGCTGAAATTGTACATAAATCGATTTGAACCACCGCTCTCTTCATCTTTGAGGTTATGTTGTCCTACATACAAACAAGCGATTTATTTATTGATGTTGATGTTCTTTTTACTAGTAAATAGTTCAGGTAAATAGTGAAGGTGAATCAATTTATTTATTATGGGAAAAAGTAAAGCTTACTGCAATAATTATTGTTTTATTTTCTAAAAATTACATTATTTTATTATACCTAGAATCGGTGGTTTTTATTATGTAAACACACATCATGTGTTTTGTTACCTAGAATCTCTTAGTTGTTTGAACAGTAACATATTGATTTTGTGTTTGAAAAGTAATTTTGTAGGGAATTTTTATTTAGATCAGAAAACTCCTCGGAAACTCCAACCAAAGTCTATCAATTCAGTTAAATCAAGTTAAACTTGGAATAAGGATTGGGAAGATATTTTACGATTTATACCTGACGTAATGAAATAGAGAAGATTTTTGAAATAGCCCACTTTCACATTGTTAATTTTTTTCAAAAAAATTATTTTGTTTGTCATTCTTATATGCCATTTGTATTGAAAAATTTACCACAAATTCCTTAAGGCGACTTTAATTAAGAAACTATAAGTCCAAATGAGCTGAAATTTTCAGGGATTGTGGTCTTCTACTGGGATAAGAATCGCGAAAAATTTCAGCTTTCTATCTTTAATCGAAGAAAAGTTATAACCTTTCAAAGTTTTCCAAAATCTAAATCATAAGGTAGCTATGTACCTCAGTCGAAGGGTGTGCAAAACATGTAAATTTTGTACACCTACTGAAAAAAACCTACACTGAACGCCACTTTTTTGAAAATACTGAATAACTCGTTGAATAATACTGAATAATACTGAATAATACTGAATGATACTGAATGATACTGAATGATATTGACTGATACTGAACACTGCTAAACGATACTGATTCAGTACTGAAGAATACTGAACAATACTTAAGATACTAAAAAATATTGAGTTCAGTATTTTGCTACATTCAGTATACCCGACCCGAGAGTAGTATACTTAACTAATTATTAATTATTCTAGATTTTATAACTTTTTTTTTAATGAATAAAAAACTTCAACATACGTTTTTTATGTAGTTAAATATTCATGTAGTGCTATATAACTGAGATTTGAATGCAGGCAGACAAAATTTAAGGATTTTTTTGTTCTGAGTTAAAAAAAAAAAAAAAATTGGTAAGAATGTAATGAAAATAAAAGAGGAAATACAATTTTATAAGTTTTTACTTGATTTTTAATTGATGTTAAATCCTGCAAATTAAATTTAAAGGCAACGACTCTGTCGTTTTTTAAAACAAATGTGGGAGATGGGATTGTTTTCACTATGCTGCCTATTGAAACAGCAGACATATCAACAATTTCATTCATTTAAAATGATTTTTTTTCTGTTTTTTTTTTGAAAATTTAACTATCACTTCATTCCCAACTTCTAACATTTCTGTTATTTCACCGACATAGGCGACATAATGCTTGAGACATTTTTTCCCTTTAAACTTAACTAGGACCCAAGTTCCTACTGTGAAATTTTGATAATATAAGCTGGAATTCTGATATTCATTGTTTTCTCTATAAGTACCCACCGAGGTACCCACATGGCGTTATCTTTTTTATTAAATTCTTTTTCTACAAACGTCACTAAAAGTGTAATTTTTAACGGATGCTGTCAGTGTCTAAAATGCCATTTTATGACACTGGTGTTAAAAGTGATTACTTTTAGGAATAATACACCTTCGGCGTCGTGTCCCAAACTTCCCTTTTCACAAAATAGAATGTCACTTTTAGCACTTATATCATAAATAACTATTATATTCCGCTAAAAAAAAAAATCATTTTTTTTTTGTAATGAAATTGTCAGTGTTTTAAACTAATTAATCATAAACCTTCTCGCTGATTTTGATTATACTGGCATACGTACTTTTTGAACAAATGGGGTACTTTCTCAGGTTCTTTGGATGTAGAATACTCAAATTTATTAATTTTTGAATATTTTAGAAAAAACTTATAACTTATATGTATTAATATATTAAATTTCAGTTTCACTTGACTTTTTTTGCAAAAAAGACCCAAGGCCGTGCAGAGAAGCAGTTTAAGTTTTATTATTTTTTTCTTAAAAATCAAGAGAAGACTCGAGAAGAGATGCCAGAAAAATTTTCACAAATATGAATTGTTTATCCTCCGGGACGCCACTGCAGAATTAGCAGTTTTATTCTACATCTTGAATGGGGTGCGACCCAAAAATCAAAGTTTTAGAAAAGAAAAAAAAATCTAATAACAAATTTCCCACTTTTGAGATAGCGAGGTCACGAGGTGTAAAATTATGAACGAGTAGCTGTGACGTCACACCGGCTTTATGACTTGACGCATCCATGCAGGTGTTATGCATTTCCCTGGATGTTTACGATTCCACGTGAGATTAAATAAATAAATAAATTGTGTTATTCCCCAAATTGTGTGTACCGAGTTTTCAATGATAAATACAACTTGTGGAAAATGGTGATTCGCCGGTGTGACGTCACAAGCTCAAGCGGTTTTCACGAGAGTTCTAAGATATTGTTTCTCTGTAAGTATCATCCCCAAACCCTCTATGCCTTGCCAGATATCATCAAGACAATCACCCTGCACCACCGTCGTTCTACACCATAGGCGTTTTCTTTTTTCATCAATCTATCCACCATTATGAGTCAGTCATTTCGATTTCCGATGTACGAGACAAAGATAGACTACTCGTCGGTAGGTCCACTGGTGAAAAAAAGAATGCGCCCGATCTCTTGTCATTGGTTAGCTCGTGACGGACTTTGTCGAAAATTCCCGATTCTGTTAAATACTGAATAATGGAAATTACTGAACGTACTGAAATGTACTGAACCATACTGGGAGATACTAAAGAATACTGAAAAAGACTCAATATTACTGACTTTTGTCAAATAAATGAATACTGAATCATACTGAATGATACTGAAAAATACTGATATGGTACTGAAATGTACTAAATGGTACTTGATAGTACTTAATAATACTGAATACTGAAATAATGATTGCTAAACGATACTCAATTATACTGAAAGGTAAGTACTGAATCCCAAACTGTACACCTTACTGAATGATTTGCACACCCCTCTACCTCAGTACTAAGACGATGATTTTTTTTAAAAAGATTTTGTGTTTTATTGATCCTTTGGAATCCCCCAAACTCCATACACGAAATTATTCTGAGATATGAAGCCGGTTTCTATGAAAAAAGGTACTCAGAAAAATTGATAAATCACCCCAAATTGCTTAACACCATTTTATTTCTGGAACTATAAGTCCAAATGAGCTGAAATTTTCAGGGATTGTAGTCCTCTACTGGAATAAGAATCACTGAAAATTTCAACTTTCTATCTATAATAGGAAAAAAGCGAGGAAAAAAGTTATGACCCTCGTTATGACCTTTCAAAGTTTTCCAAAATCTAAATTATAGGGTACCTCAGTACTAAAACGATGAAATTTCATCTTTTTTTTGTTGAGATTTTGTGTCTTAATGGTCCTTTGGGATCCCCCAAACTTCATACACTAAATTATTCTGTGATTTGGAGCCGGATTCTATGAAAAAAGGCACTCAGAAAA